ATATATATCGAGCCTTTTGTATTCAGCGCCTCTATTGACATCTTGAGTGTAGTGATTATAGAATTCATTGTCAGTTTGTTGTATTTAAGGCTCAGAGTTTGATATTGAATGTTTATTAAATGCTAGCCGCATAATTAGAGACGCCAATTGTTTTCATATACCAGATATTGTTTATGTATTAATGTCCTCATGTAAACTCTTGATGGGCTTATTGCTTGTGATTATATATATTTTGCTGTGCAAAGTCTGGTGGTGTGCTTGTGAATTAGAGTAGAAAGTTGGTCACGTAGATCTTACAGTACTACCTCGGTCCTCAACTGTTTCAATTCGATTAGCAGAAGATCAGTTTTAAATTTGTTTGTACCAAACTTGATCTAATTTTGCACTGCACACCTTTGCATACAGTTCATGAGGCACGTACCGCTCCAAGGGGAACGCTTTCAAAGCGGCCTTGGAGGACGCCTTCCCTGGTGTCGATGTAGTACTGAACGAGACAAAACCTCGCTCCAAAGCATTCAATCTTATGCTGGAGCTAAACGACAAGACAACCCATACTATCTGGGATGGGCGTGTACTTAATAACCCCAGATCCCAAAAGTGGCCTGTGGACCTGTATACAAAGTGCATCGACGCAGTCAATGAGCACACGACTGACAAGGCATAGAAAACTATCAAAATCAAGAGGCGGTTGGGCTAATCTATAAGGATTGCTGTGCAAGTCAGTTGGCAATTGGGATCAAAATCGAGACCGTTAGAGCTAGCGTGCACGTATCTGAAGGAAGGCCCAGTCAGCCAATTCTTGTAGTTGACTGCTATAGTCGAAAATACCGTTTGGCGTTTGTGTCTTCAAAACCTCTACAACAACTCTATAATAATTAATGATGGACTCTGGCTTAAATACCCTAGTAGGGTGATCCACTGACCTGACCCGGGCATACATCCCCCGTAGCTATTTTTCTGAGTTGTAGGTATAGAACGCGAGGATGCGGTGGCCATCACTAGCGAGTATTGGCCAATAAATTCTACATCGGACTGTTATGTGGTGTACCATTTTAGACTTGCAATATGCACAAAGATGTACTAGCTCCCTGCGAATGTTTTACACGATATAGAGATTTTTGTGCCATGCAAGTAAAATATACCGTATCTTTAATGCGATAACATATATTCCTATCTGCGTCTCTGAGGTCTTTCGTGCCAAAAAATCCAACCGAGTACCAGCTGGTTGTACGACTTGGGAGACCCTTACTTTGATTTGACTTTCAAACAAATTTTGCGTTTACGGCGCACCATCAAAATTTTGGGAAATATCGGCTTTACCTCTATTTGTACCGACCGGGTTTGAAATCACATTCAGAATAGTGCTTATTGTAATCTACCTCTGACTTACATCTTCATATAGGTTCATAGGTATTACACGGGCATGTACACAGCTTCTGTAAAGGAAAACGCAGACTTTCACCGATTCGTTACACTATTGATCAATATATTCATATGCGGATATGCATGTCTATAGATAAAAGCGTTTATTGTCTATATGTACCCTCGTGCTTGAAACAGATGCAATGACTAAACAAGTATAGGCGTCTATTACAAGGTTGTACTTTTTCAGCTTTCTTCATTTCTCGTATACATAGTCGTTTTAGAGGACTACGATACATACGCTTGCGTTTTTTAAATTTTTTATTATTCACTATATTTATCCTCTCGCGTGTACATATTGGCAATATTTACATTTCCGGCCCCAGCTGGCCCGCTGGGGCCCAGGGAACAGGGCCAGGCTCACGTAATGCCCCCCCCCTACGGACGATCAGTTAAAAGGAAATCGCCAGTCGCCAGATCCGATCGCCTTCTGAAATCCAGACTATTCTCACAGAACAGTCATCATTTGAGTATTAGTGGAAGTATTTTTAAATTTAGCTGCTATATCGTATAAGTGAAACCATGCCGCGGGCACGCCGGTCATTGCCGGCATGGTTTTGAAAAAATAGACAATTTTATTTATTAAAATACAGAGCAACGAAATAATCGAAATTTCAATATTGTTTAAATTGTTTTTAAATAATTAAAAATAGTCGTGGTGGGATTTGTATCATTATATATAAAAAGGTGTGTTTTCAAAAAAAGTATTTTCATTTCTTCAACAGAAGTTGGTCATTAAAAGTATCAAAATTGGGAAATTGTAAATATTTTTACATAAATATGATTGATCATGATTGATCATTGATGATCAATATTGATCATTGATCGCAACTCAATTTTGCTGGGCTGGTATGACAGCACTTTTCGCTATGACGACATGTTAAGACCGTCGGAAACTACTTCGCTATGACGACATGTCAAGACGTCATGTATTTTCTTACAGTAGGAAGTGCGATATACGTCATGATGTTTTCTTTTTTAAAATAAGAGGTATCGCGATGGGTAAGAAACTAGTTTGAACAATATATTTTTATATTGTTTTTCAAAAACAATAATAACAAATTGTTTTTCTCGAAAGGAAAAGAAAAGAAATAGAAAAACAATCGTTCTCCAAGAGTCGACTCCAAAGTGAAAAGAGGATCTGTGTTTTGATCACTTTTGATTTGTTTTTTGAAGGCTTTAAGAAAGCGTCACGTTTATTAGCGGTTGCACGCGTAACAGAATATTACAGTCAGACATACATACTACATAGTGGTCGAAAGACCAAAAGTCAGACTGTTAGTGGTCGCAAGTTCGCAACCAGACTTCTATTCGTAATACGTAAATACGCTTTCAAATTGATGCATTAGCGTAAAACGTACTATTATAGGGGTCTGGCCCTTATATTTGGCTTAATTCGCCAACTATATTTCACCAAAATATTTGTTGGGTTGTTGGTCAGATTTCGCAGATTTTGACTGTCAAAACATAACAGCTAATAATTGGGCCATGTAAGGTTGATCCAACCAATTTTTTTTTGTAATTGGCTCCCAGTGTACTACCAGAAAATGGGAAAACGGTTTCAGAACTAAGCATTTTAACACAAAACGTACTCCCTACTATGTAGTAGTGGCCTGGCCTCTTGACATATTTATATTTACAGTTTTACCACTGTCCACAGTCCTCACTCCTCAGTCCACACTCCAACTCCACCTTCACACGTGTATAGAAATACTGCGACTCGCAGTATTCTTGTTTGGCACTGGTGATACTTTTTCCACAATAACAATATCTAATTATTTAATATATATCCTCTTGTGTATTATCCTCTTGTTGTGTATGTGATTACTGAAGCCATCAGACTCAATCATCCTCCACGACAACACTGAAATCTTAATAGTGAATAAAAAAATATCAGAATAAATATATTAAAATTGGCTAACTTTAAGTGAATAGTGCTATGCGGCTGTCGACTGTCGAATGTCGAGTGTCAACTGCTCTAATGCGGTACAATGCTAAAGTATGATCTCTTGTTTGAAGATAGAACACTGGAACAGTAAAATAGAGTGTATAATATTTTCAACTTTCCAACTTTTGTCCAAACTTCAAATTCAACATTTGAACAGAAGTCAGACGAATTTACAGCGATCCGGATTCTGGAATTTATATCTGTGGGGAGTATAGTGTATGTACCGAGGTTTGAGTTATGAGTAGAGTACATATGTGAATACTATGTTCTCTTGTGCGTGTTGTATTTATGTGTCAGATATCTGATAAAAATATATAAATAAAACCATCTCCAATATGTATGTATAAATTCTTTGAATATATAAATTGAAGAATGGTATATATGAAAGTAAATTATTTACACATACGGTCAGTTTGACAGTCGGTCACAGACTCACAGACCACAGTCAGTCAGTCACAAATCACAACTGACACAGTCACACACGCACAAGAAGCGAGAGAAGGAACGTTACATTGGCACGAGCCTGTGATGTGAATTTGTGACTCAAATAAATACATGTATTTTGCGCATACTCCATTCGGCTGTGTTCGATTTTCGGTGATTGTTTTGGTAGATGACAATAATAAAAATAAAAAGGGTAAATGTTTTAGATATATAGAATTAAATAAGAGGAGCTACAAATGGTTAAAAAATTGTTTGTTGGCATGACAACCTTGTAAAAACTATAGCTGCCGATCGACATCTAAATATTTTGCTCTCGCCTCTCAATTGAGTCAATTATCGATGGGTTACCGTTAAACGTGCTACGGTTTTATACGTTATAGAGGTCTGGTTAATGGAATACACTTGTGGCATAACCTGCGAACTATATTTTGCCAAAAGACGGGCTTTTAAAAATGTCAATATTTACATAACAGCTATTAATTAGACCATATAGTTCGGCTCACTAAAACTCAGGGGCTCTGTCTTTTCAAAACAAAAATAGAGAGAGAGCAAAAATAGTGATCGCTTTAAAAAAATCTATGCTCTATAAAAAAGACTATAAATGTAAAAATATAAAGATAAATAAATAAATAGCTGTCAAGACTCAAGACTCAACGTTGTTGTCTCTAACTCTCTATGTATTGATCGTGAATTCGTGATTCGTGAATTTGTGATGTCTGCGATAGCCGATAATGCGATTGATGATGGTAAAGCTATCTTTTAAAATAGTGCCTGCCAGTCTGCCATTGCCCTGGCGAACTGCAGAACTGGTGACGGGCTAATTTATAAAAAAATGTCTGATGAGTGATGGACTGGTGATGCAACCGTCCAAGCCGCGAGGCGCGAGTTCACGACCCACGGGCCAAGGACCCACGGTCACGAGGCCACGATTTCTCATACTCTGTGACACTGTGTCACAATTCACAAATACAATGTTAGAGTGATTCACAAATCAATACAACCCACCAGTGAACCCACAACAAGTCTGAAGTGAGAAGTCTCATCCAAAATAAGTAAAAAAGCACAAACCAAAAAACGAATGAGCTGAGAGCATTTATTGTGAGTAAGAGTCGGAACTCTGCCAAATTGATTGTATTCAAATAGCATAGCCTTCTAAATTGTTTGCATTTAGCATAGCCTTCCATCCATAACAACAACAATTGTTTCACAAAACCATAATTACGAAATAAATAATACAAACTCGGTCGTTCTTCACACAGGAATGTCTATCAAGTATCATATCCATCTCATTCCCAATTTGATATTTGCCCATGGGCGGCCCTGAGGCCCAGGACTCCCAGGAACCCATGACTGAAGAATTTTTACTTACGTTTACTATTTAAAGATTCCCGCTGAATTGTGTTTGTTTACATTTCTTACAAAGGTCTTGTAGTTGCATACACTCAACGCAAAAACATACAACGCTAGTAATGCAGATTAGCACGTTTGCACTGCTACTGGCAGGAGCAGTTACAGCCAAGTCCACAGAAAACGCTCCACGAACTTTGAATAGGTCGTCGCGGTCACTGAACGAAAGATCTACTTTATGTAATCTTGCGTGGTCCAATTCTGGTCATCAAGGAGAGACTGATTGTTCGGGAGCCGACGTTGTGTTCTCGTCGGTATCTGGTCGTTATGATTCGAAGGTGCAGGATGCTATAGCTGATGATTCAGTGGAAGTGATGTGCTATATCAGTGTTGGCACCGTAAATCCGTCGAATCCTATACTGGACTTCGATGAACTCTTAAACTATAAATGGGTGCAAAACGAGGATGATAATGGAAATGGTGGGTATTGGGGTGACTACTGGTACAATCCTGATGATCTCCCAGCAGTGCTCGAAATAATGAAAAAGGTACTGGACAAGGTTAAGGGATTTGGTTTCACTATGGTAAGTACTGACAACGCAAAGCCCAGCGATGTCGTCGCCGAGAACGACAGTATTGCGGCACGAGCACGACAAAATCAAGAGATCGACGATCGATATATAGATTACATGGAGGGATTAGTTGAGTATGCGCATTCCATTGGCCTCAAGATAGTTCTGAAAAATCCATCTTATTACAACAATCACGATACAGCCGGTCTTTTCGATGGCTACATCGTGGAAAGCTTGTTTAACTGGTATCCTTATGACATAAACCTGTACACCACTGGTACGTATGGAAACTTGTTCGAGCAAGGCAAACCTGTGTGGATCTTCCAGTACAGTGGGACCAACGGTGTGGATGACGAAACCCTACAAAAACGTATGCGATGTGAACAAGTACCAACAGTTTACTTGGACACTAGCGATGGATGGGAAGCACTTAGCCAATGGAGCAAAACAATGACCAATGACGAATGTAGGGATGAAGGCATGGATCGGTCCCTATATTAGCGCACTTTGTGCGCAAATTAGTAAGTTGTAGCAACAATTCTATTTCATACGTACGCGTAATCCTAAGGGATATACATAAATAAACACGCATCACTCTCCACAGTGCATGACATTGTACATTGCTCAGTTCGCGCACGTTCAGACAAGTTTTAATGTGTACACGGCCACATCTATGCGCGCACGACAGTCCAAACTGATTCCTCACGCTTATTGGTGGCGAGTATATACTCAGAATTCTGCCTCAAGAGCTTCTAGAACTTTATTCGACACCGCAATATCCATAAGCCCGAAACCTGAGGCAAGGGAGAAAAGCATGTTATAGAACTGTCGTTAGCTTTCAATCGCGAACGTCCACTACGAGAAGAAAGTGGCATGAAATCGAATACGACATCTATGATGTGTCCGATGGGATTGTGCCAATTTCACAATAGCTCACCGACTGATTTGTATATCGTTCTTCTCCCTTTCGTAGGCTGTGTTCCGTGTCGAATCCAGTTACCAATAGTTGGCAAAACCGCAGCATCCAGAGTTCCCATCTAAGCCAAAAATAATAGTTGCGAATCGATACTTATTATATGGCGAGAATTTGTGTATGTATCATATCCAAAAAATATCGTGGTGATAGATCAAACGCGTTCTGTAAGCTAAACAAGCATATACAATAACATGGTCACAGTACTGGAGAGTTGACATTGTATTGTCAGCGTTTAAAACACATTGCGAGCGAAGTAGCTTGTGAATTCAAACCTCGAAGGCGTCTAGCAACTCGCCGGCTTCTTCGCTGGCTAATCCGCAATCCACTACTACATCTGCGTCTCGGAATATCTCCACAGGTAGCTGTAGTGACGTAGGCAGCCCGTAGTCTGAGAGGTTCGTTTTCATATATAAACGTTACAGTAGTGACGCATAGTATTGGCACACATATCCTATTATTCAAGAAGTATGGGAGGAGAATGCCACTAGACTCCTTTAAACTCATGCTGCATTCAGTTCTGCGTCAATAAACTTATACAAAACCCTCTGAAAAGAATACTTTGAATTCAATGATCCTTCATATTGCATATGCATGCTGCTCTAAAAATGTAGTTTGATGATATTCGCTTATTTGAACAAAATTTCACATACCTCGTCGGCATATAAAATCTGCCCGTCTTAATCTTGAACTCGCTAACGAACAAATCCGTCACAGATCACACAGACAGCCGCATACAAACACATACTCATACCGTAGCTAAGGCAATTTAACATTGAGAAATCAATATATATTTGCGATCTGAGGACAACTCGCTAATACAAATTTGTTTTTGTAGTGTACTGCACACACCTCGCGCATATCATGTGTGAAGGAGCCAACTGCTGCGATGTGGCAAGTTGGCTTGACCCAGTTTGCCTCGAACAGAGCCGCTCGCTAAAGGAAAATGATATACTGATTAGAAGCGGGCTTCTGCAATTTCGTTGATGGACATACCATTGTAGTGTTTTGGAGAATCTATTGGCAGACTCTTCAATCATGGTTAGCACAAACTACTACGGGTTGCGTAGCACGTGACATCCAGACTTGCTGTTGTCCATATCAAAGACCAGCCTATCACATCTAAGTTCGCGGATGAATTGATTTTGTCACCACCCGACAGATTCCCATGAATCCGCTAAATGCACAGTGAGTTCGCAAGGAAAGTCATATACTGGTGAAGTGCGGTCAAGTGTGTACGTATTACGCATGCAAATCTGTATTCACAGCGACCACAGAGCATGTGCATCCTTTTTTGTCCTTCAATAGACAATGGTCAGAATAGTTTGCGATAGTGGAAGTGGTTGGACTTCATTCAGAAGAGGAACTAGCATGTCACGCGTGAATAAGAACATATACAAGGTTGATATCTTGAAATACGTAGCAGATACTACAAGGCACGTCATGTGTACAAGTATCTGTTGCAGAACACTATCCCTGTCATGCAGATTCAAAATCGAGATTATGTGCATGATGCGTGATCGAATTTGTGAATTCATACAGACACATACAGCTGCAGTGCACGTAGCGATAATGTCGGCCTGCCTCACGGCAAATTCTGAATCGGCTGTCGCCTTGATATCTACACCGTCCCAAACACTCGACATTCGCTGTGCTAAAAGCTCGGCAGTGCTGAACGTGCGGTTTACAACATACACCTGTGTGTTTGTTTGAGATGTCAAATGAGATACAGCAGTAGGCGTAGCAATCTTCAGTATAAATTGCATATAATAAGCATGAATAACATATGGCTGGGACGGATAGAGGATGGGTGCTGGGTAGGCATACGATGAATCACGAATTTATAAGATTTACCTAATCTATTGAATTTGTAACAAAAAGTAGCGAACTAACTGTTGCCGCTATACATCCATCAGGGTATGCGATATAATTGTAACAGATGTTGAATACGGATGAGTATGAAGCCGGTAGCAAACAAGATGTGCTGCATGAAACAGTATGCGCAATCTACATCCACAAAAAAATGATCTCGTAATTATTGGTCACATATTGACACCGTAAATATTTGCCTTGTATTTATGTCGTAAATCGTACATGTTGATTTCGTAATGATGTCGTGTTTATAATTCACGTTCTGATATCCTAACTTAACGATGCGTCACATGCATGTACAATGTGCTGCTTAGTCCACTCCATGGCGAAGGTATGTGTGCAGGTACAAACAGATAAAAATGGATTCGGCTCAAATATATCGTCATAGCGCAATCACACGATGTAGGTATCGACAGATATTGTTCGCCAACTAAGCCAATGGTTTGCCTAGGATAGCTGAAACACCGTGTAAACAAACTTTCGAGTAACACCCTCATGGCTAAATTAATGCGAGTGTTGATTACCCACGTACACGTGTGTCATTCTACCGGATTTATCGAACGTCTATAACAGCATTGCAACAGAAACGGGCCGATTGCACAATAGTAATAAATGGGGCCAATAGCCTTTATAATTTGATGAGCTTTTTTTTTAAACGTAGCATCGATTTCTTTACACGCGTACGGCTGACAAATTTACAGTAAAAACGATTGCAATGTCAATGACGAGACGCAAATTGAAATGAATCTTGCTAGCACACGCCACATTGTTAATTGCACTTGTGCTCTGACTACTTCCTAAGTCATTCAATCTAGAAAATGACGCACAGTCGTTGTGAAATGAAAATGGATCAATCCGTAGCTACGGTCCCAAATGGACAAATCTTGCCTGATGATAAACATAAGTTTGTCCCTTTGAGAGCGTATTTTATATTTAAATGAGTGTAGATACGTACCTGCTTGATGGAAGGTCGGACGTGCACCATCATTCGAATGTGCCACTCGGCTTGTGGTCCGGCACCGAACACTGTGAGTACCTGACAGTTTTCCGGTGCCATAACTTGAACGGAAACGGCAGATCCACCGGCCTGATGCACGGGTACGTGAAGGGAAGATATGTAAATATGGGATGATGAAAAATCGAAGATAATATATGTAAATGTGAGATGATAAACCGAATATTCCATGCAATTTACCCTTGTATCATTTAAACCTAAATAAATTTATGGGGGTCGAATCTTCGAAAAGTCCGAGCTGGGAAGAGAGTGTGGCCACCACGCAGGTATGGGCCAATATACATATTTGAGTCTTTGATGAAAATCCGTGTACAACCCTCATCGCAATTTGCAAAAAATGATCCACAATAGAACACAACGCGAGTGCGCGTAGAGAATCATCGAGTAATGAGATGCACCACATTTCCTCGCGCACGTCGAAGCTAAGTTTTAATCATCAAGTTCCAAAATCGAATTAACATACCAGAATTATCAATTTTGACTTGGTTTGATTATGTGCAAGAAAGCCGAAGCGTGTAAGGGATGAAAAAAATAGGGTCTGGTCTAGCAAGCACACTAACCGCAGACGGTAGCAACGCGCATTGAATATATGTTGACGACGAATTGAAATAAGTCAATTAAGTATTGCACATCTAGAGTCGTGCAGGGCAAGGTTTGCCATGCTCGTGATAGATAGCACAGATTCACATGCCCAGTATCCGTAACTGTTCAGCAGCGAGTGTGTGCAGCACTATCCTCATTGCTTGAAACAACAAGGCTCCTTATCACAGTTTTCCACAAGATAAAGATGACACTGCAGGCTCGGAAAATGACAGGCCTTCACAAACATAGGGGTATATATATATTTACACACATGCCATGTTCCAAAATACACGCGAGCACTCTTCTTTTCTTGAAGCGTAACAGTAAATCTACACAAAGTTAGCTGTGATTTTCATATCTGATAGTTTCTGATGATGAATCTTATGACATCCATGCACAAATACGTATTATATTCACACATACAGGAACATATATAAATCCATAGCCAACTCCATAAATGGCTCAGAATATACAAACTTCAAGAGTGTTTTTATCGGCGATCTATTGGGATCAGTGTCACATTCTTGAGTTTAAGCGCCAGTGTGTATATCCAGCATGACAAAATACAACCTCATAGAAAATGAAGCACAAACTTCGTTGATTAACACTGCAAAATGCGTCTACAATGTTGCGTATCTCAGTTGTTGAGCAACTAGTTCAGCACAATAGGATCGAATACACAGCAATTCAACACAACACAGGTATTGAGAGACACTGCCGACACAAAAAAAACAGCACGTGAAGATTCTAGGAAAAGGACCTATACACACCGTTCGCATGGTTGTGATTAAGTCTGCCTCCAAGACCGCCTTGAGTTTGCCAGTGTCTTCATCCATCATGACAATCAATCCGTTCAAATTAGGCAGGGGTGGCGTTTTGGAACTGTTACCGGGGAATACGCTCATGATCTTCGCTCCGAGGCCGGCTCCGTGCACTGCAGGTAGATTCAGGTCAGAATTGATATGAATATGAGTCACAATCGCTGGTGGATTCCTCCACCGTTGTGTGGACGGTTTATTTGAATGATACGTACTACTGTAAAGTAAATTGTCGGTATAGACGCCTTGCTATAGGCAAGTCATAACTGGTCAGCCAGACTGGGATAGAAAAAATGACACGAATTAATGCGATCTCTTGTGCGAGTAGATATTAACGGCACCATTGTACACTCGCAAACTGAAATTTTGGCTTGATAAAATATGGAAAGGCGCTGGTCAATGATTCTGCAAATCATATCTAGACAAACGTTGCAAAGGACAGGGAGCAATTAAGCATTTCGAAAGTACAGTATTGAAGTTGCAACCTCTCGGCTGCGTCGTTAGTGTACTTAAATTGATTTTATAATCCAATTGATTCGAAATATGTTCAATCATTCAACTGCGTGTGTAGTATAATCCACATGTACGCATCCGTCAAAACTACTAATTCCGATGGCGTAGATTACAACACAGTGTTAGCAACATATTTTTGTACAATTCAGTTATCAGTGTGGGGTCGGCCCGTAGATGCATACGCAACTATTTACGCAAGTGAAGCTGAGGATTTCCATATGCTCTTAAGTAACTAGTAGCCAGCGCATTACATCAATAGGAAGTCGGTATACAATATCAACAGGAGGCCACAACACACTAGCAATGTCCAACAAACTTAAATGTGTGCTCATTAGAGCATATTCCAGCAGGCTTGACCCAGCTTATGGTATATATTCGATATATTGGAAACCAACACTATCACCAGCACTGTAGTCACAGATATACGAATCAACATTCAGCAAACTATGAACGTTTAAACGGAGCCAAAAGTACCAAGATGTGCGTACATGAGCGTGTAAATAGAGAAGTGACGCGTAAATCTATAAAACATATGATTCACGTACGCCCAACAAAAAACATACAACGTAATGAGGGAGCACAGGATATGCATCCGCAGAGCGATACATGCCACATCATGAGTGACTCCTCTGCACTATTCACTATACATACGTACAACTATATTTACTACACTCTTACTAGACATGTGTGTACCTGTTGCTGGTTTGAAGAGTACGCATCCCTTCTCCGAGGGCACGGTAATGTGCTGTGGATTGGCTCCTTTGTCCGTCCCCAGAGCATCGAACGCTTCGTACAGCCCTTGTAAGCAATCGTCGATTGTGAGTGCGCGTGCGATTTCGTCGTTTCCAACTGACCATATACTGAGAGGCGCCATTATTTATGTGACAAATTTAAGTGTATGTCACGCCGCTTTAGATTTATTGAACAGGCCTTCCACTTGGTCAGGGTGCGTCTTGTGGGTATTGGAATCAAATCTTTATGAAACGTGCGGTTAAGATAGTTTGGCGCTATCGAGCAAGTAAGATAAGTAGCGGGTTATGTGTAGATTATGCCAGTAAAAAAGGGATAGGGTCTCTCATAACCTGCTTGTAGGTGCTCTTGTGTGCGCGTATTCTTAGGATCGGGTTATACTTAAAAAATATAGCCTTCTATTTAAGAGCTGTTTAAAGTCAGATACAGGGTTGTTAGGACATATTTAGCATGATGTGTTTTTAAAAAAATACGCATTTAGCAACGTAGTGCAGACTGAACCCGCCAGAAGACACGAATCCCATATTTGGAACTCCTTATCAGATTTATATTCAAGAGCGAGAATATTTAAAATAAAATAAATTAATGTTATAAATATGTAAATATGCATGCACCTTTGTAAATAGAGATCTGACATGTAACTTCTAAATCAATATGAGCCTTTGGTTTCTGGGTGTGTTGGCAAGGCTGGGTGCTATTAGAGAAGCAAACAAAGACTGTCCATGAACCTTAGTTCACACAGTACACGGTGTTTCCAGTTTGTATTTTATTTTATTCTAAGATTTGTGTGTTGTTGTAATAGAGCTCCAGTCAGTCACCCACACGAAAGTTTACTTTAAGATGAATAGCCCAAGTGGCTTTCATTCTGAAGTGCATGTATGTCCGATAACTATGGGGTTTTTCCCTTTACCGATAGTCAGTTATTGACAACACTGATCGGACTTAGATTAACACTGCACAAACACACACAGGCAGCAGCTTTGAACACCGGGTTGCTATAGGCTGGTGCACTCCTATTTTGACATAACTGGGCTGATACCATGTCAGCCTTTTGTCAAGGCAGACACTCTGGTAGGATGCGATTCTGTCCGCCAGGCGGCACTGTCCAAGTTTAATACTTATTTGGGTTTAGTACATTTGCTACCCTTTTTACCTTATCACAGTGGTGCTTTTGCTTATTATCTAATTCTCCACAATTATGACTTTCGTTGTGTGTGCTGACATGGATTGCGTCCACCTGTACGCACCAATGTACAGGGGGATTGTCATGTGCTAGATGACAGACAATCATTCACTGGTGTCATTCAGTCGCTTGGTCGTGCGTACCCAGCATATAGGGTCAGCGGCTGGCATGTGACTTAGACAAAGACCACGCCCTGTCCTTTATCAGTGCTACTCCAAATATGGGGTAGCTGTGAGGTAGGCTACGCTCACGCAATCGAGCACATCCAACCATGGGGTGAATTCGAATACACTATCGCGCTCCTAAATTGGGTGGGCTGCATGAAAGCTCAGATATTTGCCACGCTGACGGGTTGCGATGTGAATACATTGATGTCTCGCTTGTCTCAAATTGCACACCAGGCACTCCTGAACGGTAGCGTCGCACTCTAATTCTGCCAACACAAGAGTGCGATGTGAGCCCCAAAATGAAGGGCTTCAGTACACCATCACAGTGTATGAGGCGAGTATTGAGAAGTCGGGGTCTACAATGCGCCCAAACGCGTGACTTCAGCTGGGCGTCAATACTTAGTGTTGGTGTGGAGACACGTTCTCCAGAACGTCACTGCTCTTCAATTCCAAGGCAAGGCGAGCACGCTTGATACCTCACACCTTGCCACATTGAGTGGACAGGCTCCATCTGAGCTCTGCTAACATACGATCTCGTAGATATCAACCTAGCCAGTTAGCTAGTATAGGGAAGGAAACCAGTTGCAAACTGCACTTCACCTATCGATGCGTACGTACAAGCACCAGGAGAAGCTTTGACCCTTGCCGCGATGCTCAAGTAAACCCGCAGTGGTCGATTGCTATAGGTTCCGTTTCAGAAACTCCTACAAAATCAATCGAGAAATTCCATACCGGCAGTGATCTGTGTGCGTAGACCCGTATTCATTTTGATACAAAGCCTTCAACTCGAAGTAGCTGAAGGGCCGTCATCAGACTACAGCCGGCAATAGACCACTCCCAAATGCAACCACTGACATTTCGGTAAGTGCGATGCACCCACTGGTCGAAGACCCCGCAGTTTGCTGCCCAAGTAGAGATTTATGGACGCATTCGCACCCTTAGTCTATTTATAACGGCACTTTATAACGGCACCTCTGTCATTTCTACGGAGTTGAAGGACCCGTTAGTCGACCCCACCCGTTTGGCACCTAGACTGGGAATATTAGGCGCATAACTACTCCGTGGCAAATCACCATTCTTGTCGTGGTGAAGATCCGTCTTGATACACTCATACTCCACTCTGACTATATTCCACAAAGCTCGCCTGTATACGTTTGTGTGCGCGTATGCATGTGGTTTGGAAATGCGTAAGCGGAAGGCGAGGTCGAGAGTTTCCAGGTATTTAATTACGTGGAGTATTTTGAGAATATAGAATCAATATTACCCCTGTACTCAAGTTCTGTTGGTAGAAATATTTACGGAAGCCTAACAGCCGATGAGGACTTCGCATCATAGACCAACGTGTGTTAGTTTATCGTGTCACAGGTACTTTGGGTTGACATTGCCCTGTTTATCTGATAACACTAGACTTGGCACACAACCGATCTTCCCGTGCCTAACATTAGTCCATACGGAAGGTGAAATATGACCAAGCCTTTATCCCTCTGATCATTCTGAAAGGACAATCGAGCGCAACGCTTGATCATAAACACAGCTTTACTGGTGATACTACTGCACAAAAGTGAGTTCAGACAACACACACATAAGACTCATCAGTATATCGGCCCTCGATTTCGATACATGCTTATAAGGCTCGTTCAAGGCACCTACCTGATGATCTCTAGAAGCTCGAATAGGATGATTTTGTCAGCCGAATTGAGGCGCAGCAAATTGCTGAGCTGCACACTCCAAACACACCGGAGTATTAAGTCGATTAGAATCCACATATAGTACCTGTTGGTACACAAGCGAACGAGAGAATCAGGTTTCAATGACAGCAGACAGTACTGGCTTCTAAGACCATGGACAGACATGACTTCAAAGCATCGCCTAGCGAATCTTCATGTACAAGGACATAAACTGTAGTACTATGGGTTTATCATTTAAGCTGCATCTCAGAAGCATAGACAGTCACGACATCTGATTGGGGTTGAAGTTCGGAATGCAATACATGCTGCTCGCTGCCATATCGCATGTTCTGCACTGACACCACGACAGTCTATAAATGCATGTGGTATACCGACAAACCCCCCACACAGACGAACGTGCGCAATATCTACCACGTAGTGATATCAATACTAACATACATTGTCATGAGAACGCTAGCGACCATTTTGTAACCAAATAACTGCAGACAATAGCTACAGCATGTCTATGCTTGGAACAAACCAGGTCATTAATGGATACATAAATTGCGCCTAGTACTCTGAAGGTAAATCAGTAGTATGGACCTGTCTGTAGCCAAAGTTCTCGCCTTCGTATTTATGCTACCGTGAGTGTGCCACTGAACGGCATGCAAAGAATCGCGATGTACACCCAGCTACCAAGTAACCCCACAGTCACGAAATACAGATGCACATACACACAGTGATCTCCACTCGCACTAGTACAACCCAATTTCAACGCCGCACACTTACAGCGGCCGCGGCAGCATCATCCTGGCACGGAGTGGGTAGTTAGGGGATGTGCGATCAAATAGACCCCAATCCCATACCAGATCCCAGTAGTAGGTATACATAGTATTGACAACACTCGCCAGAATCCACGCCTGTGGAGGGAACGATTTAAGTTGCACGGAAGTATGGGTATGTCAGCAAGTGATAGCGCCGTATAGCCTGGTTGACAAGTCGAGAGGGTTCATGTTCGCCACGAGTCTGTGTCGTGAATTTCGATAGCGCCACGGATAGTTGTCGCTCTGATGTATTTAACTGGATTCGCGGGCAGCACCAGCTTCATTAGACTGCCGCGCTTGGGCGCCTTGTGCTACAGATGTAGTATATGTACACTGCGTAAGCTGTGTGCACAGTCTGTTAGTTGTGGGCACACATTCAACCACACATCCGTCTCATTTATATACTATGCACCCCGTATCCGAACATATGACTCCCGATGTACTTATGTGAAGATACTCACATCTGCATAGTAACATAGGTATACATACGTACAAGTCACATCACGTAGCAAGGGCGCGTATGTACATGCATGAACCACTGTGAGACAAGCTATAACACAAACCTTAGAACAATACACTTGCTCACCAGACACTGACACATGCAAATCTAATGCTATGGTCAGCTGCGAATATACTTACGGAATACAATGTCGGTGACTGACCCGTTGGTGCCATCTTGAGGGCATGGCCCAACCAGATTGGGGGGTAAGCTATATAAAAGAGAGCAGGAAGATGACTGTGTGAATGGAAGCACGGAATGAAGCCAGTATTATAAATAGAGTCCGACCAAAAAATAGTTGCGGCCAGGACAACTTCATTATGAATAGTACACGAATAGTACACGTGAACTAAAATATCAATGATGTCAACCATTGTAGAAGAAAAAGTCTGATTGTGCAAGACGTTTCCAAAGGAGTTCTGTTCAGCTCAGCCACGAGGCTATTGTTCACGAGCCGTCCACATGTTCTGCAAATGAAGATGCTTGAGGTAGAGCTACATGCACACTACTATACATGTTCGTGCTTATTTCGTCGCCAAAATTCCAGTCACTCGATTGGTGTTGTGCTATACCTTAATAGTAGTGAAACAAATGAGCTGATATACACGTTCAATCAAATTAGCCAAGGCATCCCTACCTCATAAAAATATTGCGTCGCAAAATCGTTCGAACGTGATTTTGCAATCGTTAGTTGCTATCGACAGATAGCCAATGCACACTACACATTGTACACGCGAGCCTAATCGTCAGCCCAGATTACATAAACATTGCACTGCAGTACTTGTAACATAAAACTCTCTTCAACTGTTTGAATGCACATACCGCTAGCGTATTTGAAGGCATTGACCAAATCTTTCTGAACGCCAGCCGCTCTGTATTCGATCAAACACTGCAGAAAAAAAAAAAGCACGGACACTGTGAAGACAATATAACATGTGGTTATTCGGACTGGCCTGGAGTGAGAAGCTTCCGGTATTTCAAGTGTGGGAATCTATACGGTGGAGTGAATATAGTACCGTGGAAGTGGTTTCTGAGTTTGAAAGGTCTTTACAAGGTACGCGAAATTGACGGTGCAACCACCCATCGTATACACACGTTTACAATTGTACAAGATACATGCTCTGTGTACCAAGAAGTACTATTCTCGAGCAACAGAGCAGAATAGATTGTATTTCAAGTAGTGGTGCAGAATAAAGAAGTGGGACGTGTATAGCCTGTTTGGCAACGACCAGTGACAGCATACCTGGCGAAGTCTGATTGTGTACGGGATTGATACCACAATGGGGAGAAAAAGCGATGACATGCACCCTGGCGAGGCATCGTAAACATCCCACTGACTGAGGCAGAAGCGAAAACGTTGTAAGGAAAAGTGAATGTGTCAGTCTAAAATGATGTATAGGAAGGCGAGGAAAAAATATACATCCTATCCTGGAGACGCATATTAATAACGGTAAACATCACTGAAGTTTGACTATCCTGCGGGCCACAACTTTGGTTGATAACTATAGAGGGAGAGCGTTCGTGTAATGATAAACATACACACACATATGCGGATATGGGCGTAATATGACAAATATTAAAAAGGCTTTAAGACATGACAAAAAAATACTATCAATGGAAGTATTATGAAATCTCACACTGACATGGTAGTGGAAGTGCGATCTTCAAGAATGAATATACTAAATCGCTTGAAGATCCCGGACACACTCATATGCGAAAGCCAAGACACCAAAAATACACTATGAAGACAAATATACTTTGAATCTTGTATAAGAGAGCCTTTCTATACTCTTTTTAGACTAAGTGTACACTTGTACGAGTGCATACTAGCACACGTGCGCGAGGTATAGTTCACTACTTACTGCACATGATAGCCCACAAAGCAGAAGATCTGTTCAAAGTCCGCAAAGACCTGTATTAGAAGCAGACATTGAGTATGGGTGCAAAGTCCGAGAAAACGCTTCTTTACGTGGACGTGCAAGCAGATGTAGCAGTGAATTAGGGTGTAGGGTGTCAGGGAAGCTTCAGTTTCGAAACTGGGCGAGTGAAAGGACAAAGCGTTCTATGCGATGCGGAATTCAATTCATACCTTAGAGAGTGACGTCAGTCCATCGGCAATAAATACTTCGGCAAAGCTTATTCGTGCACCGGGAAAGATGCACTGCAGTATATATGGTTCGAAGGTTTCAATTATTGCAATCTTGACCCACCCATATATTATGGGTTGCGGCTATTTCAAAGCGGTGTTGATACGTAGAGAAAGTGATGCGTCTTGATTAAAGGCTCCATCGAGAAAGGCATGTTCGCACTTGATCAAAACAATAAAACTCTGTCAGTATTTCCATGGGACATGATAAAAAGTAAGCATTTACCTTATACAAAATTCCATGGATCCATTTCCTGGCATGATGATAGTATACATGCTGTTCATCCGAAAAAGAGACGAAATTATATATCAGTTAACATGGCGCGAACGGAAATCTTCCAATCCAAAATGCACCATGGGTTGTGCATTAGCATATACCTTGTGCATACATGTTATAATTCTTAAAACTTGCACGCTTAGTATATATCACCCAGACAAGTTTTGAAGATTTGCACCGCGATTTGATTTCTAATTGGCTCTGTTGGTTGGTCGATGTTTGGTATGGAATCCGGCTGTGCATGCGGAGTGTATGCTCGTACGCGCTATTGGCCTTTTGAGTGCATGCGCAAATCTGTTGTATCCGCTTACCCGCTTGGTCAGAAACATATACATCAACAAGCCCAGCGTAAATACGGGGATGGTATCTTCCAAAGGTGTACCAGGTTCTACGGCGGTAGAGAACACTCCCAGCGCGACACCCAGAATTATGAGCCCCGTCATGCTGCCGGTAGCTATTTCATCCCACTTCAGCACTTGATCTGTTTGTAGTCGCAATAAGAAAGGAGTGGGCATGTTCATGTCCCCTATCGCGTCCCACAAAGTGGGCATAGTATATATTGTACTGAGGTAAAAGAGAACAAATATTTTAGTTGTGGACTCACTGGTGGTCTGTCAGCCATTCGTTTGGGTGTAGTGACGGTCAGAGAACGGTGCAAGTGATTTTTGTGTCTATTGAAAACCATTTCAGCATCTTCGTACCGTGTTCAAATCTATAAATAGTGCGAGAATTCTAACATCTATTGCCATATTGGTTTAACATTTCACGCCAGCAGAAAAAGCATTCCACTCTCGAGACCAGGTATAGCAAGGTGCTGGGGTTATCTCACAATAGTTGTCCATTCCACCACTATCAGATAGGCTCATAGATGAAGTGTGTGTGAGCACAATACACACAGCGCGGCACAGCAAATATTCCCAAAATGGCACTACATAAACAAACACTCGTAGCTAACTTTAAACTAACAAGGCAAGTACATTTCTGAATCGCAATACAGGATGAACGATTCGTTAAGGACGCGTGGGTGACTTACCGGGACGGATGCCCAGGGCTGTTGCATAGTTGATACCGAAGGTTTCAAACACAAATACATTCACACCCCATAGCGCCAGAAACAACAGTACCACCGCTGGTGCGCGGAAGAAAAGCGGGGCCGCTGCATATGTGCGTTTGTGGAGAGGAGAATTAAAATCGTGCGCAGTGGGAACTAGTGGGTAGTTGAGCAATACAAAATGGTTTACAAGGGTGTTGAACAAATCGGAAACGGTACAAATTTGTGGACCAATTTGCGACTTGAAATGAACATAACATAAGGGCTGACAATGATTCGTGTTCAAGTGATCATAGATTTAATTATATGACAGATGTTGACAGCATGCCACAAGATTTCTAAGGTATAATGTAAATACCTGCATCAGTTTGAAACATATCTCTGCCTCCACAGCTAAGTAAGTCGCCAGACACAGTCATAGAAAGCGCATACCGTTTAAAAATTACAATACTATAAACAATTGAAGTTCTTAGTTGCACTTTCGTATATGAAGATATATCAATGTATTTGTTGCCTTTCGTTTTCACATATAGGAGTATAGCGTCGTTCACGTCAAAGCCGACATTGGTACGTGCTACAGTACATATGCGTATTGGCACATAACAGTCGATATACATAGATTACAACATAATCATTTTCGCCTATATATACATTTTATACGTGTTCAAATGTGTACCACTAAAATATTGAAGTGATACCAAAATTTGATCCTTTCATACAATTGTACACAATCATAGTAGTATGCGCGATGTCATCAAGCATACTTCTTAATAATAAAAAGGTTTATATTTATAACACTATATATATATATATATATATATATATATATATGTGTATATATATATATAATAATATATAATAGATATATATATATATATATATATATATATATAATATATATTATTATTATATNTATATATATATATATATATATATATATATATATTATATATATATATATA